TTTTCTCCATGTTGCACTAAACCCCATCCTCATCATCATATAGTCTATAAACTCCCAACACACTTTGTCATATGCTTTCTCAAAATCTACCTTAAATAGAAAACACTTTTTTTTCTTCCTTTTGGCTTCGTCAATAACTTCATTTGCAATCACTACTCCATCCACTAATTGTCTTCCCTCGATGAAAGCCATCTGCTGCTCCTCGATTACCTTGGACAACACCTTACGCAATCGGTTTGCTAGTAATTTTGAGATGACTTTGTACATAACACCTATTAGTGAGATGGGTCTGTATTCTTCAATTCCCTGAGGGCTTTCAGTCTTTAGGATTAACACAATGAACGAGGCATTTGATCCTTTGACGAGCCTGCCATGTTCTTGGAATTCTTTTACAAAGCCAACCACATCTGGTTTTATGACCTCCCACATCATCTTTATAAATCTGAAGTTGAAACCATCTGGACCTGGAGCTTTGGATGAGTCACAATTCCATATTGCTTCTTTAATTTCCTGTTCCGAGAATGCTGCTGTGAGGATCTCATTATCTTCCTTTGTTATTTGCTTGAAGCTTATCCCATCTAGCTTAGGTCTCTTCCATTTTTCTTCTGCAAACATTTCTTGGAAGTACTTGGCAACCCCTTCCTTTATTTCTTCCACCTCTGTATGCTGTTTCCCATTGATCCGAACACTACTGATCTCATTTCTTCTCCATCTTCCTTTCACACAATTATGGAAGAATTTTGTATTCGCGTCCCCTTCTTTTAACCATAGCTTCCTTGATTTTTGTTGCCACATCCTCTCCTTAATTCTCAAATTCTTCCACAGATCGATAAAGCTGTTTCTCCTTTTCTTTACATCAGTAGCCGACAATTGATTCTGTTCTCCTTTCTTATCTATTGCAGCAATAACAGTTTCAGCTTCCTTTATCTTGCTGTCCATCTCTGTGTTCATTTGAAAACTCCACTCTTTAAGCACTTGTTTTGTTCTTTTCAGTTTCTCCTTGAGCTTAAATCCGTTCCATCCACTCACTTCAATGTTGGTCCATGCATTTGTGATCACCTCCTTGCATCCTGGTTGTTCAAGCCAAGCATCATAATACTTGAATGGTTTTGGGCCCCAGTCAACACATTCATTCTTCAGCAAAAGAGGACAGTGGTCTGAAACTGACCTCCTCAACCCCCACTGTTTCACATCACTCCATTTTGTGGTCCATTCTTTAGATAATAAAAATCTGTCAATCCTGCTCATGTATTGTCCATTAGAATTATACCAGGTGTATTTTCTCCCCACCAACGGCAAATCAATCAACCCCGTGTTATGGATAAAAGCATCAAAATCCCTCATTTCATTAGTAGTCACAGTACACCCTGCTCGTTCCTCAACACTTCTCACAGCATTATAATCCCCAGCTAAACCAGCTCCCCCTTCTGTTATTTATTAAGCCTTGCAACTGCTCCCATAAGGCTCTCTTGCCTGCGGGTTGACAAGGTGAGTACACATTTAAAATGTATACGGGTGTTTTTTCTGCTCCCCACAACCCAAACACCCCAATAAAATTATCTCCCTCTATAACCTCTTCCTTCTTGAGCACTTTGGAATTCCAAACACAGAGCAAGCCTCCTGAATTGCCATTAGATGGCTTTGTAACCCACTCCATATCATCTGTCCCCCATAAGCTTCTGCAAATTTTTCTATCTACTGCTTCCATCTTAGTCTCTTGAATTGCTAGAAATTGAATTCTTTCTTTTATAACTAACTCCCTGATCTGCCTTTTTTTCCCATCCCCTCCAAGACCTCTAATATTAAATGACAACAATATCATTGAGATCTTTACATACCTTCTTGTTGGCTTCATCATCTCGGTTCACCATGGTTAAGCTTGCTTGTCTGTCTCTAACCTCCATCTCCTCAATTCTTTGGATCACCTCATTATCGTCCTCTGCCACTGCTTCGAGTTGTGTCGCGAGATCCCAAATCTCCTTGGCCAATTTGTTTTGCCACTGCTTCTTCAGAGATCGGTTACAATTCTGTATACCACTATCTCCAATTGAATCTCCAGCAACTTTTCCATTTGGGTTTGGTAGGAATGTTGGAATTTGTCTTCCTTCCATTTCTTGCGTGCTCTGTTTCCCTCTTCCTCTTTTTCTGTTTGCTCTTACATCCCTTACACTAGTTTCTAAATACACCGAGCTGCATCGCCTCACCCTCCTTTTCCTTTTTGAACTCATCTCCTCTAGCTGTTTGCCAATCCAGTCTTCAATGCAACCTTTTTCCATTTCATGCCCCTTCCAGAATACATCTTCATTGTCGCTGTTGCTTTCATCTCCAGAATTTTCGTTTCTAAATGAAACCCTTTCCTTATTTGTATTTTGGGTCACCTTTGCCATTTTAGCTTGGGCTGGACACATGTTTGTAGATTCCTCTTCCTCTAGGTTTTCTTTTTGTGGGATGGGCTTCTCCTTCGGCTGTTCAATGGGCTTCATTTTATGGCCCCTTTTTTCCCCAACTTCTTCTATACTTTCTGTTAGAGACTCCTGGGTCCCCTGTCTTTTTGTCATCCCGCCTACCCCTATACTTCCAGCAGTAGCATTTAAAATTTGAATTTCTTCCAGGCTGTCATCCCCTGTTTCTGCTGGTTCCCGTTCCTCCTTACTGGCTAGTTTCGAAAATCTTCTCATTCCCTCTTTCATACGTGGCACCACATCATCATCTTCTTCAGTTGAGCACCCAACCTGTTCTTCATCATTCTTCTCGGCTAATTCAACATCCTGCATCGCCGAGTCACTCCCAGTAGACCATGTCTCATGATCCTTTATCTCACTATTAAAAGAAGGCATAAAATCTTGTTTCAGAGAAAAGAAGCTGTTTGTGAATTCTTCCTCTATAAATTTCACACTGTACATGCTTCCATTAATCTTGATTTGCCTTGTGACTGAGATTGTCTCCATAATTGGTGTGGAGATCAAGAATCTAGCAATGTCAAACCTTTTCTTTTTGCTTGTACTATCATCCAAGCAGATGAATTTTCCCCATGAGCAGCCTATGGTTGAGAAGAAATCAGTTTGCCAGGCGTTCAGTGGTACCCCTTGAGATCTTATCCATACGAATCTCTCATTTGCCACCATTTTTGGTGTCCATGGGTGCACCTCTACAAACCACTGCTTCAGCCAATTTGATGCCATTTCAACCAAGTCCTTCAGCTCTTCTTTATCTTCACATGATAGCAGAACCAATTTGCCTCCCATTGCCCGGATTTGACAAGAAAAGTACCCTTCCATGTAAAACTTTTCTTGTAAATTTCGCACCATCTCCACGGAGTGTGCTGTTCCGACATAGCAGCCATCTAACCAAGCATGCTCTTCAAATTTGCTGTTATACTCCAGCCCAGCCCATTTTTCTCCCAATCCTTTCTCCTTCCAGATTTTCCTGGTTATCGAATGCTGGTACTCGAGTCCGCCTCTACACTGTAACTCCCCTTGTTGTCTTGCTCTGTATGCTTTTTATCTTCAGCAGCCGTCCTTCGGAAGTTAATCTGGCCATCTCTACCTTGTGTTCTCTTCTCTTCCTTCCCACTAGTTTCTTGCATACCCTTCACTACCTCCGCATAACTTCTGCTATGGGCCACTGTCACCATTTCTCTGTTGTTTCTTTTCTGCCTCTCTTCCTGTTTCTCATCATCATATCGCGACCTATTGACCCAAAGTTTCTGCCCCCCCCCACCCAGATCTGGTCTAACTGTCTTTCTAATTCCTTCTCGTCTTTGACTTCTAGAAATCTCACAAAGCCAAATTTACTTCCGTTCTTGCTTTTTCTGCTTGGGCTGTAGATGTCATAAACTCGTCCATATTTCAAGAACGTCCTCCACATATCCTCATAGCTCCACTCATCTGGACAGTTGGTGAAGAAATATGATGTGGCTTGCTTGTACAAACCCCAGTTGTATGTCCCCTCTTCCTTCCGTTTCCAAGCCTGGTACTGGTTACTTTGTCCTCTCCCTATGAATGTTGGCTCCCCCCTCCATTGGTGACTTCTTCCACAGGAATCTGCATGCTCTCGAATCAGTGTCGTCCGCCTTGCCTGTGAACTCTGTCTGTCTCTATCCCCTCTCGTTCTCTCTCTACCTTTCTCTCTCATTCTGTCTATTAGATCCTAAGCATTACCGTGTCAAGAGTTTGGAAGTTTAGATGGAGAAGCAAACTTGGTGCGGATGGTTTTAATAGCATATTTATATTCAGACTATCCTACTTATTTATGGTTAAAGTATTTTACATACTTATCAATAATTTAAATAATTTAATAATTATTTTTTTTATTAAAAATAAAAAATTTTGAGTTTAAATCATATAGCATGTGTTTGAGATGAGATAAAAAATAAAAAATTGTTGTTTTTCATTGTACAACCAAAATAAAAAAAAGTACGTTACATACTCATTAATAAATTTTGTTTTTTGAAAAAGAAAATCTTCAGTAAAACTGTAAATATACCACATGGAACCAGAGAGTGCCGATTGCCTATCCCCTTTTGTTTATTTTGTAACTTAAGATTAGGAAAGGCTGGCAGAAAATTTAATAAGAATATTTGACAAACTGTAAACCTTATGCATCAACATATGTAAGTATTGATCACTACACCCGTTTTAGTGGTTGAGACTCTTGGTTAACTAAGATTATCTCTTATGAATTACATGTTCAAATCCCATAAATAACATTTCTCTCTCCAAAAATTATGCCCTCGATAAAAACAAAAAAATTGTAAGTATCATGTTTCTAAACTAAACATTTTTTAAAACCATGAAGTACAAAAATCAAACTCAAAACATCACAAACCCAAAGGACGTGTCATACCACTAAAAAAACTGACCTTTGATATTTTAAAATTTATTCTTTTTCTTGTTTTTAACCAATAAAATAAAAATACTATTTTTTTAACAGAAAAAAATAATATTTATTAAAAA